CTGCAGGCCTTTGTTGTAATGCGTGATGTACATTAGCTCTATTGTTTATAATACATTATGTATTTTAACAGTTTTGTTCAATAAAACCATATGATTTCTTGCTTTTGATACTTTATTTGAACTAATTATTATTTCCTCATTGCTATTATATATGTATTTTAAGTAATTTTAAAGGCTATTGTTCACTTACATCTATTTTTATTACCACAAAAAAATTTATTATAATTGTAGGGCCCTATGAAATCCGTTTTATTTCCAAATTCAGTTTTTTTTCCATTTTCATTTTTCTATACTCTGTTTTAATGGTTAAATTAAATTTTATTAATCAAAAAGCCTGTCTAATTAATTGAGTTTTACAGTTTTATCTTTACCAAATTCTGTTTTCCATTATTTTCTGGATTCCATTTTAATGGTTCCATTAAATTTTAATAATCAAAAGCATCTCCAATTAACTGTTTTTATTTTATTTTAATTTTTTTTAAGTTTTTATTTATTTATTTTTTTTCAGAAATACTGCACATTTACATTTTTCTCCTAAATAAATTCTGGTAAATAACATTTCTGGTAAATACTCCTTTAAAAAGTGTTTTTTTATTATAATTTTATTATCAGTAGACTAGAACACGTGGACATGTTGTCATTCTTACACTATAATACTGAACTTTGATTTCAGTGATTTGGACTATGAGATGGACACTTGCTTCTTGCACTATGTTGCACTTTACTTTTGCTTTAAAAAAATTATTTCATAGAAATTTGGATTTCATTTGGTTTAATAAAATATAGTTTAATACAATATTCTTAAGTTAAATTGTTATTTTGTGGGAAATTAATCGTTTAGATTAATCGACTAATCGATAAATTAGTCGATAGATTAATAGAAATAAAAATAGTCGTTAGTGGCAGCCCTACTGTCATTGATACAACCACAACTGCTACAACTGATAACAGAATGCACACACGGGTACTGCGAGTCATGTTGAGGTAATTAAAATGTCAAATGAATATTTTGCGCTCAATTTTTACTTATCAGGCAAGTGGCCGCATAAGCGGGAAAATTATACAGTGTAGTCTTTATCACCCTGCAGAGGTTTATTTTGCAAAATAATCTGCTGACTGTACACTATCCCTCAGTTTGTGAACCACTGGAGTAGACGATTTGTGCTCTATTAATTTGGTCTGTTACGATGCTCTATGTGTTTGATTACTAATGCCTGTGTAGTACGGCGTTGCACACAGAGGACAAAAACATTCAGCCTCGACTCTTTATCGTCATTTGTGTTCAAATTTACAAAGCGTACCAAATTGAACAAAACTATATAAATGCAAAATTTGAATTCATGAATATATAACGGTATCCACTAGGGCTGTGTATCACCAGCAAAGTCACGATACGATACGTATCACGATACAGAGG